CCGCCTGCGGAAATGGCGCCGCCACGGCCGGCGGGTGGCCGTCGTAGATCTGCGGCGAGCGTACCTGCAGCTGCGTCTCGACCGGAAGCTGTGGCCGTATCAGACAGTGATCATCCGTGGTGAGCGATTCTGTTTGACCCGCCTTGGTTTTGGACTTAATGTAGCGCCGGCCGTGATGAAAGCGGTGGTGCGGCTCGTCATGGCGCAGGATGCAGCAGTGGAGCGCGCCGTCTGTCCGTATGTGGACGACCTGCTTGTGGATGAGGCTGTCGTCAGTGCTGAGCACGTGGTCGAGCACTTTGAGCGTTTTGGGCTCGAGTGCAAGCCACCGGCACGCGCCGAGGACGGCGCTCGGATGTTGGGACTCCACGTGCGGCGTGTGGCGGGTGAGCTGCGGTGGTCTCGTGACAGTGCTGTCCCCGACCCGCCCGACCGTGTGACGCGCCGATCGGTATTTGCATGGTGCGGCAGGCTGGTGGCGCACCTCCCCGTCTGCGGCTGGCTGCGACCCGCCGCCGCCTGGGTGAAACGGCGCGCCAATGCCGTCACGCGCGGCTGGGATGACGTCACGACCGACGCGCTCCTGCAGTCTCAGATCTCGCACGTGCACTCCCGGCTGCTAGCGGCGGACCCGGCGCGGGGCCAGTGGTGCTGGACCGGGGATCAGGCAATCGTCTGGACAGACGCCAGCTCGATCGCGGCTGGAGTGGTCATCGAGACACCGTGCGGTGGCGTGATGGAGGACGCCTGCTGGCTCCGGCCCGGCGATGCCGCAGCGACCCACATAAACATGGCCGAATTGGATGCCGCCGTTCGCGGCTTGAACCTGGCCGTGGCGTGGGGCGTGACAAACATCGACCTAAGGACAGACTCGGCGACAGTGCACCGCTGGGTGGACGACGCGCTCAGCGGCCGCGCCCGCCTCCGGACGAGAGCGGCCGGTGAGATGCTAATCAGACGCCGTGTCGACCTCATTCGACAGCTAGCCAACGAACTGGAGCTCAGGGTCACCGTCACGCTGGTTCGCTCGGAGGAGAACCTCGCCGACGCCCTGACGCGAGTGCCGAAGGAGTGGCTGCGTGACGAGTGTGAAGAGAGCAAGATGTCGGTGACGGCCGATGACGGAGCCGGCGACTCGGCCGCCCGTGGGCAGGTGGTCGTTGGTGCTGGTGCTGCAGATGCCGTCAGGTCGTCTGTGCAATCGGTGCACGAGCGGGCCGGTCACCCTGGCGTTCGTCGGACGCTGTTTTTCGCGCGGCGAGATGTGTCTCGAGACGTGACGAGGGCTCTGGTGCGCGCGGTCGTGACGACTTGTGATGTGTGCCGATCGATAGACCCGGCGCCTGTGCGGTGGCGGCACGGCTCGCTAGAGGTGGCGGCAGTATGGGAGCGCGTCGCGATGGACGTGACCCACCACCAGGGGCGGAGCTACCTAACCGTCATCGACTGCGGGCCCACGCGGTTCACCGTCTGGCGCCCGCTCGGCCGTGCCGACGCAGTGGAGGTCACCGACCACCTGGAACAGATCTTCCTTGAGCGCGGCGCGCCCAAAGAAATACTGGCAGACAATGACACGGTGTTTCGGGGCCGGCGACTCGCCTCGCTCGTGGCACGGTGGGGCATTGCCCTGAGATTCCGCGCCGTGCATGAGCCGGGCGGCAATGGCGTAGTGGAACGGTGCCATCGAACTGTCAAGGTGATCGCGGCTAGGAGGCGGTGCGCTGTGTCCGAGGCCGTCCACCTCTACAACGTCACTCCTCGTGACGGCCGGACGGCGGACACCGCGCCAGCGGCCGGGGTGTACCGCTACGCGGTGAGAGACTGCGTCCGCCCAGGGCATACGCCAGTCGATACCGACGGGGATGGCGCCCAGCCTGCGCCAGCGCTGACTCAGCCGACCGACACCCGGCTCCGGGTAGGGGACCGTGTGTGGGTGCGGCGCCGCGGCACCCGCTGTACCGAGACGTCTCGGCGCGGGACGGTTACGGGCGAGCTCTCAGAACAGGTGCTGGAGGTGGACGGCGTTCCGTGGCACGTCCGTAACCTGCGACCGCGGTACGAGACATCCTCGGACAGCGGGGATGACAGTGAAGAGGCCGACGAATCGCCGCCACTGCTCGTTGGCTCCCCGCCGGCCGCACTGCGAGCTGAACATGACGCGCCGAACGGGGCGGCGCCCCCCGATGAGCCACAGACTGAGTCACACGGGATAGATGGGACGGTGCCGCCTGGCGAGGGGTCGGAACCGTTTTCGACGGAAGGGGAGCCGGCGGAAGCGGCAAATATCCCCCCGCCCCGTCACAGTGAGCGTGCCCGGCGACCGCCGCCGCCGTGCAGCTGCTGCACCCAGCCGGAGTGATGACTCTTACGTGAGCGGTGAGCACATGTGCGCTTGATATTGTTTTGTTTGTTTGTATTGTTTGTATTATGTGTTTGTATTGCCGTATCGTATGTTTGTATGATCGTATGTATCGCCGTGCAGCTGCTGCACCCAGCCGGAGTGATGACTCTTACGTGAGCGGTGAGCACATGTGCGTTTGATATTGTTTTGTTTGTTTGTATTGTTTGTATTATGTGTTTGTATTGCCGTATCGTGTGTTTGTATAATTGTATGTATGATTCTTGAAAATCAGGGGGAGGTGTGGCGTGATACCGGGGTCGTGGTATCCCGTCCCCGGCGCCGATGTTGGAGACGGTACCTGGTCCGGGCTGTACCGGGCCCCGGACTGTACCGGGCCTCACTGTCAGAGGCGGGACGACAGGGGGTCTGGGGACGGAAGGACCGGGTGGGCTCTCGCGCTGTGTGACTGGGAGTGTGCGGTGGCCCGTCTCGCGTGTGCAGTGGCCCGTTTCGCGCTATCGGACAAATACACGGTCTCCTTGCGGGGTCACGTGGCGACCTCAGCCGGCTACTACAGCGAGCTCGGCGTCCAGTTCCTGGGCCTCAGCGCCCTGGACGTCCGGGGATTCGACATCTCCGTCCACTTCGACAAGGCGGCTGAGTTTATTGCCGGAGCGCTCAGAGACGACGGTGGGAGGGAGTGGTGGTCTGGCCGAGACGCCGCTTCAGCTGACTGCAATTGCTGTCCGGGCTTCAGCTAACGGCATGGGACCCGCGTTATATGCCCTGAGTGCTCTGTATGAATAATGATGGCTGTCGCGTGAGTGGCAAAGCTGATGCGCGCTGTGGACTGTCCTCTAAGCCTGGCTTTGGCCGCCTGTTGTTTGGTCCGAGACTGAAACCCCATCTGTGTCGCCGTGTGGCTCGCTTTTGGTGGCGTCACAGCTCTGCACAAACACACACACCGCTGACACACCAATCGTGCGACTGCACCTGGGTGCACTGCGCCGTGCGAGTCAGCTATTCCGACCGCCGTGTGCTTGACTCCCTGCCTTGGTGTCTCGCAGATGTGTCGTCATAATGGCACAGCGCACACAGAATGAAACCAGGTTTGAACACAAGAAAGAGGTATCCTTCCAGAGGAACGAAATCGTTGGGCGATGGAGCAGACCACTTCTACAAGACGGTGCGTTTTCTGTCACTGTTAGGAGACTGAGGCGCCCAGTTTGGACGGAATACAGGAAGACTGGTAGGTCGAGGTACCGACAGCGCCGGCCAAGGTGGTCACAACACTCGCCAGACCAGGTCGCTGCAGGAGCGGCACGATCACTATATCCGCTGTACCCTGCGGTTGACCTGGTCGCCCATCTACCCAGCCAGAAAGGGCCTGCCTCCAATATATGTCAGCTGTCTGTCCTCGGTGGTCTATTCAATGCACCGGCCCGGTGCGGTGTCGTGACGGCTAATAAACGACGGACTCTAGCATATGACCCAGAGGCGCCCCCAGCGGCCGGACTGGCGACTGAGGGTGGGTCGGACCTCACCACTTCATTGCCAACAAGGGCGCTCTCATTGTCGGCGGGTGGACTATGACAGCTTCCATTGTGTACAATCTCAGTAGGTGGGCTTTTCCATTTCCAATCATTTTCCTGTCAAACATTCTTCCAATCCAGGATTTGCTTTCGCAAGACATGCATATTGCATGTATCTTTCGGCCGTTCTCTCTCGCTGCCGTTAGATCTGCTCTAGATCTAGGTGACAGATGCCGCCGGGCGCCGGCCTGTAGCCTTTGAAGGCCATACCACTGCTCCTCTGCTGTTTGTGAGTCCTGCCAGTCATTCCCTGCACCGTCCCGCTCCCACCCCAGACCGGACCGTGTATGTGCGGCGGTGTCCGACTGCGGCAGACCGTGAGGGTGCACAGAGGACGGTTATACGGCCATCGCTGAGCGGGCCGGTCACGTGAACGGTCACGTGCCAGTCGACCCCCCCCCCCCCGACCCCCAGCGGACGGGTCGACTCCAGGGCCGATGTACCCGCTGACCTCAATAATGACAGCTCTGGGTAATGAGCTAGCACGAGGCGGTGGAAGGGAGCAAACAGAAAGTGATTTCAATTAAGGCATCACAGTTACCGTTGCGGACTTCAAAAATGACAGCTGTTCCAGGGGCTGAAAGCATGCATTGCGACCAACGACACATGAATATTGTCATGTGAGCAGTAAATATCAAGTACATCATGCACAGCACACGGTCATTTCTTGATAATTTCATAGCTGAATGATCACAGCCATGAACCGGAGCTAACAATAATCACCAACCATTTATTACCCAACGGACAGACCGAACCCACTATTTTGCAATGTGGCTTTGAGTTCGCCTGTAAAGATGGTGCTTATTGGAAACTCTTCGAGTCATGTAACTTCTTGTCAGTTCAGTAACATTAAATGTCTGCAGCATATGAAGTAAGTGTTACAGACATTCTTATTTATTGCTTAATCATGCGCTCTGACGCGAGTTAACTACTACCTGGTATGTAGTTCTGACTTCTGTCCAACCAAGATTATTCAGAGCTCTGATCGTGCCCGGTCCCCTGAGCTGCTGTGGCGACATCTATGTATAGTAGCGATAGTGCTGCCACCTGCACCGGGCTGTCTGCAGCTGGATGGCCACGGACCCGGTGATTCTGGAGTCTCTGCGCGTCTCGGCAGTGCTGAACGCCGCTCAGGGGATCGGCCAGTCGCACCTGGTCGACACCGACTCGTACTTTTACGAGAGCCGCCGGCTGCCGGTCAAGTTTCTCGGTCTGCGCGCCATCGACGCCGACTGGTACCGGCTGGAGGACTGGTTCCAGGTGGCGGCCGACTTCATCCACGAGAGCCGGCGCAGCGGTACGGGCGCACCGCGGCTGCTGCCCCTGTCCCAGACCCCTCCCCGGGCCCTGAGGTCGGCGGGGACCGGTGACCTCGGGTGCGGCGCCGCGGCCGGCGCAGCTGTGAGCGGTCCCGCCGGGACGGCCGACCGGACCCGGCCGCCGGTGCAGCAGCTGATGCATGGCTTCGTCGGCGGCCGGCGGACACGACACGCCTGGCCGGCCGACCCACCGCCGCCGACCGGCGTGGCTCGGTGCTTAGCACCGCTTCCCGGAGCCCGGACCGCGGCCGGACTTTTGCGCCGCCGCCGTGACTCTGGCGCTGTTTTCAGTGCATTGCGTGGTCTTTGTTCATGGCAGCTGCCATCGTAGGTACTAACGGGGGCAAGACATGCCATTATGGTCAAATACCTGCTACTCATATCGCAGTCAGCGATCTAAAAGGCAATCAGATTAAACATCCAATTGAACCGTAACAACGTCATTCACTTGAAATAAAGCATGACGACTGAACTATGTGACTCGGCTGCCATGTTGCCCGTCTTTGTTGGACCGTGGTGGTACTGCGGATCCGGGCCGGTCGACTCTGTGCAGGATCGGCGCCCTGCGGTCGGCGGCCCGGCTCGGCGCGGTCCGCGCACCACCAGCTGACCTTGACCCGCCCACCGGCGGCCGCGACCTGCCGCAGGGAAAGTGCTGGTGCACTGCGTCCAGGGCCTGAGCCGCTCGGCCACCCTGGTCATAGCCTACCTCATGATCAAGCTGCACATGTCGCTGTCGCAGGCCCTGCAGACCGTCAGGTGAGCGAGCTGATCTTACAGTCGGTGTCTGCCGCAGGCCCTGCAGACCGTCAGGTGAGCGAGCTGATCTTACAGTCGGTGTCTGTCGCAGGCCCTGCAGACCGTCAGGTGAGCGAGCTGATCTTACAGTCGGTGTCTGTCGCAGGCCCTCCAGACCGTCAGGTGAGCGAGCTGATCTTACAGTCGGTGTCTGTCGCAGGCCCTGCAGACCGTCAGGTGAGCGAGATCTTACAGTCGGTGTCTGTCGCAGGCCCTCCAGACCGTCAGGTGAACGAGCTGATCTTACAGTCGGTGTCTGTCGCAGGCCCTGCAGACCGTCAGGTGAGCGAGATCTTACAGTCGGTGTCTGTCACAGGCCCTACAGACCGTCAGGTGAGAAGTCGCGGGCCCTCCGAACTGTCAGGTGAAACCGCACACACTGACGGAGGCCTGTGTGACAGAGGACAGGCCTTCCAGACTGTTGAGGTGTGATCTCATGACAGTCAGAGGACTGACAAAGGCCCTACTACAGTCAGTTGAAACCTCACGCACTGACAGGGCGCTGCCACAGGCCCTCCAGACTATCGGCTTAGATCTTACGGACTCTCAGGGGTTGTGAGCTTGTCAGGACACTGGAGATCTGCCATAGGCGACGTAAATAATCAGGTGAGCTTTCCGGTGCCTTCATACTTCAGGTTGATGTCGTCAGGCGAGTGTTGTTGATCTCACAGGCTCAGCCTGTTAGGCAGTTCTCACAGGCTCAAAGTACCAAGTGAGTCAGTTCTCACAGTCTCAGGCTGCCAGGTGAGTCAGTTCTCACATGCTGAGTTCTTCTCACAGACTCGAACTGCCAGGTGAATCAGTTCTCACAGCCCCAGGCTGCCAGGTGAGTCAGCTCCGACAGTCCCCGGGACCCTCGGCGCGTCGTGTCGGTGTCAGGGTCACTTGCAGACCGTTCACTGACTCCTGACGATATCGCAGCCACTGCTAAAGGTCAGATGGGCGCGCTTAGCAGCTGATTAACTAACTGCCCTTCAAGTGCCGCGAGAAAAACCCGTTCTTTGGCTCTGCTCGTCACGATTCCGGCGCAGTTTTCACTTTCAGTGTGACGGCGATGGCTGGAGATGCACTGTTGATTGCCGGGGTGTCTGAGCCGCCGCAATATGTCCAACTATGAAGCAGTATTTCGGCTGCGACTTTTTACCCCGGTTTCCGGTTTAGCAGGCGGACCGTTGAGCCGTTTCTGAGCGGTTCCCAGTGTGGGACCGTTCCGCCCAGCTCGCGGCGCGCGCCCAAGGTCAGACTCGGCTCGTCACTGACGGCCCACTCCTTCCCAGGGCGCGCCGGGAGATATTCCCCAACGACGGCTTCCTACAGCAGCTGATCCGCCTCAACAACCAGCTGATGGACGCGCGACGCGTCAACGTCTCCTGGCTGTGAGCGCCCGGCGGCGGTGGCGGAGAGGGGTGAGCGGCGGCCCCGGCGCCGGAGCAGACTACCTGACCTGTGACCAGAGTCCTCCCTCTGTGACTGATACCTACTGGCCGTCCAACCAGTCGGGCCTTCGGACGGCTCTGAGTGACCCCCTCCCCCTGTCCCATCTACCCCTCTCATCCACCAGTCCCTCCATCCCTCCTCGGCCTGCCGAACGACCCGGATCGTCCCGCCGGGCCCTCCCGACACAGCGCGTGTTCATCGGCTTATTGCCGCCGCAAAAACGTCTTCATTGCGCCACGATTGTCGCAACCCCCCGCCCGCCGCTGAGATGTCAGCATCTGTGCAGTGCTGTCTGTGTGGAAGATCCCAGTGATCGCGGACAGCCAGGGGTGCCGTCCCGATGTGCTGTGATATCGGTGTCTCTCCGCGGCGGCTGAGCCCCGTCAGGTCACACCCCGGCCTGTCAGCGCAGGCCACAGACAGCAGTGATGTTCTCTGAATGTATTTACAGTCACTTCATACAAATGTAGGCATGCTGGGACTAGAAATATCCATCTGTGGACCGCAGGAACACCGTGAAAACATGCACAATTACGCACCGATTTTAAAAACACCGCAAATTTCACTGCCAATTTCCGTGTAAAAAATATGCATTAAAACAAAACAAGACCATAAAAGATGTTCACTTCCCTTGTTCTGTACAAACAACACAAGCGCTCGCGTGAGTGATAATCGAAGAAAACATGCACGAAATGGGAATAAAAACGAACGTCGCCTAACACTCGGACACTGCGTTCCGCACTGATGCCCAAATCGAGATATGGATAATGCGAATCACGTTTAAAAAGGGCCGCCGGGTGAAAAACCGCGCGGCCGGCGGGTCGTCGCCGACCTATCACGCCAGCGGGGGGCGCCATTTTGTACAGTGGTGCCGGGTCAGGGCCGGCCGCCGCCGCCGCGTGCGCCGCGCCTTATGGAGCAGGTACAAAAATAAGCAGCCCGGTGGCGGCCGAGCGGCGGCGGCTGGCCGGCCGGCCGGCGGTGAGCGGGCGCCGGCCGCAGCTCTGACGCCGGCTCGTTGTTCCCTCAATCGCCGAGCGGGTCCGGAACGGCCCCGGAGGGGGACAACCGGACCTCGCACGGCCACACACACTCCAGTACAGCCTCAGAGTCCGGCCGACCCGCCGGACTGGGCCGGAATCAGGACCCGGAGATCAGCGCCGAAACGACAGCCTGCGGTCCGGCCCGGGCGCCGAGTCCGGACTCGGAGCGGACTCCGAGTCCTGGACGCGTCACTGAGCCGGGCGGCTCACTCGGAGGGGTTTTCTGAGCAGGGCGACTCACTCGGAGGGGTTCACTGAGCTGGAGCGACTCACTCGGAGGGGTTTTCTGAGCTGGAGCGACTCACTCGGAGGGGTTTTCTGAGCAGGGCGAGTCGCCGCTGGGGCTCGACTGTTCGGTGCCGCCTGGAAAACACACAGGGGCAGACCGTTACACCGGGGTCGGGAGGGAGCTCAGCATCGAGGGCTTGCTGGCGCGTACAAAACCAGCACAGAAAAGTGGAACGATGCTGAACGCAGGTGTTTACTTTTCGCGCTGCGAGCGATAGCGAATGCATGGTTGTGGAACAGATTGGTCGACTTAACTCGGGTGACGACTGACAACCGTAGTAAACAGATAGATCCCACGACTGCCAGTAAAAAAGGCACTAAGGAGATAACAAATTAGTAATGCACAGCACTCAAATGACCTTGATCATCCGTACCATGGCGGCATGCGGTGCGTGGTCATATCCTAGCGAGACTCAGTGATCATATCAATTACCAGTTGGTGATCTCACCGCCCGCCCAGTTCCCGTCCCTCCGCCGCTCTCACCGATATCGTCTGCGTCCCCCCGGATGGTGTGCGGATGATCCCCTGAGCCCCGTCCTTCCCCATCTATTCCCACCACTCCTCCGTTTCTCTCACCGATATCGTCGGCGTCTCCGCGGATGATGTGCGGATGATAGCTGACCCCTGTCCTTCCCCACCTATTCCCACCACCCCTCCCTCCCTCTCACCGATATCGTCTGCGTCTCCGCGGATGATGTGCGGATGATAGCTGACCCCCGTCATTCCCCACCTATTCCCACCACCCCTCCCTCCCTCTCACCGATATCGTCTGCGTCTCCGCGGATGATGTGCGGATGATAGCTGACCCCCGTCATTCCCCACCTATTCCCGCCACCCCTCAGTTTCTCTCACCGATATCGTCGGCGTCTCCGCGGATGATGTGCGGCAGCAGCTCCTCAATTCGCGCCTGGTTGGCCGACACGGGCCCCGTCAGCGGGATCTCCGGGAAGAACAGGTGGTCGACGGCCAGCGGGCTCATGCCGCGCAGCGCCGGCAGCCGCAGCAGCAGCAGCTCCAGCCGGTCGGGCTCTGCGCTCCGCTCGGCCGTCAGCTGGCGCAGGCCCTCCAGCGCCTTGCTCTGGAACAGCTCGAGCTGGCGGCGCGAGGCCGGCTCCTGGCCGTCCGGGTGGAACAGAACGATGGCGCGCAGGTGCGCCAGCTCGGCGGCAGACGGCGAGAGCCGCCGCACGCTGGCCACAAACTCCTGGATCATGTACAGGTGCTGCGTGACCTGTGTGGGAGATAAATGGACGGACTGCTGTCAAAGATTTGTCAACACGGCGAACAAAGCATACGACTGGCTCGAGCGTGACGAAGGATATTCGGAGAGGACGGGCCGGAGATGAGGGAAGCACTGGGAGACCCGACGAAGCTGGTGGAGCTCCTGAGGCGGCTGGGCCGCCTGTGAGGCGTCCCCCCGTATGGCTTCCAGCCAAGGGCCGGAAGCGCTTCAACTTCAACTTCAACTGGCTCGAGCGTGGATTGGACGTAGCAAACTCTGGGGCTGAGGTTTGGAGATGCGGCTTAAGTATGCACAAAAAGTTTGAAGTTCAAAATCCCAATTGCATGGTTGGGTCCGCCGCGCCGTCAAAGACTTAACATCAAGCTCATGTGCTGATGTATATCACCCTACATCAGAGACTACATCAGATATGCCCTGACATCGCGCCTTCCAGCAATCATAGAGAGATTTACTCCGCAACATGCTACGTCACGTGAGATAAAATCATCTTATACGGCTTGCAACGACTTAAGTTCATATCTTTTCATCAAGCATTTAACTGCTTTAATGCTTCTCAACGTCAAGCATCTCATTGAAACCCCCATATTTGGTTGAAAGCCCGTCATTTTCAAGTTTACTACACGTTAGATAAATACTCTTTAAGGAGGATAAAAGGGGACTTTTAAATGCCTAGAACATTCGCCTTGTCCCGGGAGTCCGGGACCCGTTGGTTCTCCACCCGTGACATGGAAGTGCCCCGACCCCCCACCGCCCCTCTTGCGCCACTGACCAGTCGGAGCCGCGAGACGGGCGTCTTCCTCTCGTGGACGGAGGTGGACAGGTGGTGTGTGACGGCCGTCAGCAGCCGCGGCAGGTCCAGCGCCTCGCGACACTGCACCAGCGCCAGCATGAACAGCTCGGCCCAGCGCGCGCGCGCCAGGCTCTCCTGCACGTCCGAGGCCAGCACCTGGAAGGCGGCGATGCTCTTGGCCCAGTTGACGATGGTGATGAGCACGCGCGAGCCGATCTCTGTGATGTAGGACGAGTCGAGCGTGCCGCTGAACGGCGGCGGCGTCACCGAGAAGGCCAGCGGCGCGCCCTCGAGCAGCGCGCCCTCCAGCGCCACCACGCCCGAGTCGCCGCCGTCGCCCTCGTCCGACTCCAGGATGCGGGTCAGACGCTCCACCACGCGGCCGACCGCCTCCTTGTCGCGCTCGTCGGAGGCGGCCGCGGAGAGGGGCGGCGGGGGCGCGGCGGCCGCCGGACCGCCCTCCGTCCGACCGTTCTCCGGGACTGGCGACACGGCGCCGGAGCCGACTGGGGAGGCAGAGGAGCAGAGGGGTCAGAGCTGTCTGTGGGCGGAGGGGTGGGGTTAGAGCCGATTGGAAAAGAGGGTTTAGATGGGCGGAATATTAGACGAGCTACCGGAGGGCAGAAGGGTGGGATCAGGACCGACTGGGGGCAAGGAAGGAGTCTTTCTACCCGAGAGGAGGCGAGGGTCGTGCCGGTGGGTGGGTGCGCGAGGAGAGACCGTCAGATGTCCAAGTGTGCATCTACATCATAACCTGACCACACAGGCCACGCGATACTGGCCGGGTCCATGTCTAACTGGGTGATAAAGGAGATTTGATTATGCAATCAATAAGCGACATCGAGTTTCAAGATATTGGTATCCGAATCAGGTTTTAGAAGATTCCAGCAATAATAAACGCTTTATGAAGGAGCCTGAAACATGTGATGGGTACTGATGACACCTCAGAATTCCGACCGCTCCCGGCCAGTGGTGGCGGTGATGGGACGACTCACACGCTGACATCCGAGCTCTCCGAGCTGACAGATGGCGCGACATACAGGCTTACACTGCTCATTGCAACAGAACATCTCTAAATCAAGGTCAGGGCCGCCCTGCTCACTGACAGCCCGGCGACGGTAAGACCGCGGGGCCCACCCGAACCGACCCTGTGACCGTGGCCTGGCGCTCTGACAGGATAGGGTGCCCCGGCGTCTGAACACAGGTCGGCTGGTCAGCCGGTCCGATCTCGGAGGGGAGGCCGGGCGCAGTTCGGTCCACCGAGGGCGATGGACACCGGCCGGTGGCGAGGATTAGGACGGAGTTTCAGAATTTCAACACGACGTCTAACTAATTGAGTTACCGGCCAAACATGCTGGCGCCAGAGCGGACGTCACAAGGTTACACATGAAACGAGAGCATGTAAATAACAGGGGAAATATTCATGAAGCTATGAATGCAATGTGTTACCCACCATTCAACCAATCCAAGGCGCAAAAAAGACAGACGAAAAGAATCCAATGCTGAGTGCTGACAGACGATTCTATCATCGATATGGAAGAAAAGTAAGCGTGCTTAAAAGGACCTCAAACAGAAAACATTCAGATAGTTTCAGAGATAGGTAATACTGGACGCTACAAAAAAAAAACCAACACCAAGTGATGCACTAACACGACTCAACAGTTTGAAGGGCATTCCAAGAAAACACTAAGACTTAGCGTCGGATTTATCGAAGAAAGAAGTGAATAAAAAAAGGCGTGTGAAAGGAAATAACCCCAAAACCAAGCATGCGTACCTCCATAAACTGGCTGAGTCTTACTTTTTCCTTGTATCTTGCCATATCCTCGCTGCACCACATTCGACTCCATGATGGAGTTGATTCGGTCCTGAAGCGTGAAGCGTGGATTTGACATGTCTGGAGAATTGCGGCTGCCGTTGCCTGGAAAAGGAGCGCGAGTCTTTCAGCACATGATACTCCTGTGAAAAAGATCCCATTTTGAGCTCAGTGCTATTACATACTAACTAATATGAGCTGTATGTCGGTATTTCCGTTGGCAGTCGTTTCCAGCAATGTTTAATGACTTATCACACTATAAGGATGCCTCAATATACCTTCATCCACACCAAAACCGTCCACGTCCCCACCCCCAGCCGCGCTGGCCGCGCACTCACCCGACTCGGCGCGCGGCGTCCGGACCTCGGCGGCCAGGTGCGGCAGGCTCTCGTAGTAGCGCTGGTAGCCCTGGCTGCGTAGGTCCTTCAGGTCGCTGCGCATCCCCATTTTTAGACACTTCTGCAGTCGGCAGTACTGGCAGCGGTTGCGGTGGTACTTGGTCACCTCGCAGTCCTTTGTGCCGCGGCATTGGTAGCCCAGCTGTTTGCGGATGGAGCGCTTGAAGAATCCCTTGCAGCCCTCGCAGCTGATGGCGCCGTAGTGTCGGCCCGAGGCGCGGTCGCCGCACACCACGCACATGTCGATGTTGACGGCGGCAGAGGAGGTGGTGAGCCGGTCAGTGAGCAGGTCGGTGATGGGCGCGCCGGCGTCCAGCTCCTTCAGCCGCGCCGCCCAGTCGGCCGTCAGGGACATGTTGGGCAGCGTCGTGCTGCTGGAGAGAGGAGGCGGGGGAGGTCAGAGAAGGGTATGGACGGCAGAAAGGGCGTCAAACGGACCGAGTGGTGACCAAATTAGATACCGACCACCGGAGAGGGACACATCTACAGACTCATGTCGGGGAGGGGCACAAGATACATACGGTGGGAGAGGGCGACATCACAGAGGGGCACAAGGCACAGACTAAAGTCAAATGTGAACACAATGCACAGAATCGGGTAGAGCAGGAGCGCAATTATATAGACTCCAGCCATACGGACAGATGTTACTTCCATGACAATCGCTGAACAAATGAGTTTGCCTAAGATAACTTTTCGCCACCGAACACCTACGCCAGCGTTCTCACCGCGCAATGGAAAGCAAGGGGAAAATTCTGAGATATTGCAACGCACATCATGCAGAAACCAGCTTATTCGCACCAATTAGCTCGTATAAGCACTCGAGAGCGCCACCGGCGCATCGGGAGCCGCCGCGCTGTCTGGATAGAGCCGCCGGATCCGACACCGCCCGGTGGCGCCGCCCCGGGTCGGCAGTGGTCCGCTCCGCTCGGACCGAGCCGTGCACGGCGGCCGACACCGCCGGACGGAGGAAAACGGCGGCGGCAGCGCGGCCCCTCTGACGCCGAGCTCGGGTCATTTGACAGCGCGCTGCAGGAAAACCCGACCCCCGCCGCATGACCGCCGGCGCGGACGGCGGGTTCACGGACACCGGCCATTGTACCCGCTCCAGGAAAAGTCGGACCGTTTTTTTTTTTCGCCGCCGCCGGCCACACTAAGATGTCAGTCGTGGCCGGACTGAGACGGCTACAACGTTGACAAGGAGTGACCTATCACGACCCCGTCAATGACCCGCTGACGGGCGGAGAGGGGGGGCAGCAGCACGAATGTCAAGCCGCCCTTTCACCGAACAGTTTGCACGAAAGCAACGTCACCTTTCTGGCAATGACACGATAGCAGGTCGTTCCCACGTGCGATTCACAGTAGCCACGCAACGTGAAACGTCATTAGCGCCCGTGGATGCCCGTGGTATGCCAAAAGGCGCAAACACCTATTTTTGGTGAACACTGAACAGAGAACATGAGGTCCAAAGTCAGGCCAATATCAGTCCCACGCACAAGGGGGAAAAGCTCAAAAAATTGAGCGCTCAAAAAATTGAGCGGGCCCCATTATGAAGGAATAGGCGAAACGATGGCATTTTACAATGCCTTTAGCGTCACACTACGGCAACTATCGTATCCAAATAAGGTATCAATGGCAAGAGGGAGCAACAAGGTTTCTTCTCGAACACTCGCCGTGATAATTTATATCGGTGTTTTTGGAAAGAAAATGCCCTAAAGACGCTCAACTTTTTGAGCGCCACTTGTCGTTCGGGACCGCGATACTCAATAAATTGAGCGCCACGACAGACGACAGTCAGCTGGCGCTCAAAAAATTGAGTGCCGGCCAGCATCTACACTCAATTTTTTGAGCGTTCTCCGTGACAGGTGAAGCCGGTACTGGCTGCCATTTTTGATGTTATTTTCGTCGAAATACGTTAAACTGAGTTGAAACAGAAATGCAGGAAGTTGAATGCTACGTGGTACCCAAACTTTTCACAAACCCATGGCATCATGTCACATTTTCCGCTAGTAGTTTTATCGGTCGCCTTTCGGATTCGGCACACCTCAAATAATTATACAGGGCTTGAATAATCCGTATGAATACTGTATTGATATTCTCTGACTGTACTGGGCTGGGAGAAGGGAATACGTGAATACAGAAAGATATCCACCCACGCTTGAATATTGGAGAATTATAGCAGGAAAAACTGTATTGCCACGGTTACAACTTACAAGGCTATCGGCCGCAAACAAACAAACATACAATGTGGGTTAGATTCACAAACATCATCAAGTGTGGAACACAGAGACGAGCAAAACAACATCACATTATCGCATGCCACCCCGACCACATTGGAACCGGGTGACCTGCGACCGGAACCTGCGTCTTGCCAGCATACATCACAAAAGCAGGAGGCAGTGTCGTACTGCTTTGATCCAAAATATGCCATATAACAAATGATATAAACGATCTAAGCTCGGACTAAGCTAATCATTATCAAATCCTTAACATGTAAAGGACGAATGGAAACATCGAGTCTCAGACCAGCAGTAGCAACCCTATCACATCACAAAGAACACGCGGCATTATCAGACAGCCGTTTTGTTATCGGGCTACAGGCGGCGACGGCGTGGTTGCAGACCAGCTGCGAGGTAGCGGCGTGCGGGCAAAAGGCGCGGGCACACCTCCATGTGGCCGTGCAGACAGTGCGCGGTCGGCGTCGCATAGTGGGCGGCATCGGGCTGTCCCGGGGCCGTCGAAGCCGCACAGGTTGTCGGCGCATGTGGGCGCACGCGGTCACCATGGCCAGCTGCTCACCGCCAGCACAGACTGCGCAGCGTCGCCGCTCCGCCAGCCAGAACACGCAGACAACCCTTCTTGCAGTCGCACAACACGTTGCCAAACTCATTCACCTGCTCCACCATGTTGTTGATGTCACCGAGTCGTTCAAGTTGTGGCTCGTGCCGTCGAGCATGACCTGCCCGATCGGACACGGGTCAGCAGCTTCTGCTCCAGCGAAGTCTTCATCTTGGTGACGTCTTGCTGATCTCCACAAAGGCTGAGCAGATGACCTTACCCACAGGGACGGCCGACGTCCTCGCCAGCGACCGCTTGGTTGTGCAGACCTGCCAGAAAAAGAAAAGCTGTTTGGTGATCTCAAACGATTTTTTTCTTTATGCAGTGGAACAAAATGGAAAATATGTCATACAACAGGAACTAAAAAAAGATGCAGCCTAGGTCGTCTAAGAAATGGGTGCAACATTGATAAAATTCTTCATTGAATGAATTCTGCAAATGCTTTTGATAAAATGTGTGGTGATTATAAGGAGACCACTTTACTATAAAATTGCTCGGGATTCCCTATCTGGACCTGTCAAAAAATCCTGACTGCACACCAACAATGAGCATTAAATCCGAAACCTCTACCAGGTACCTAGGGATAATTAAATTCTGATTCAGGAAAATATTTCACATCATACAAATAAAAACCTTTACTATATTGAAACTGAAAATGTGATGCCGATTCAGTGACCTAAGGGTCTCAAAGTATAATGATGAATTTATCTATTATAAATTTGGTGGTGACTGCCGACTGGCGTCTGGTGGCCTAGACCTTGAGGCTTGAAAGTGGCCTTCCTTTTCCGTTGACTACGATCCTCCAGATGGAAATGATGTAAAGGATCAATTTTATCTTATTTCATATGAGCCAGTCAGCAAAGTGGCTATCCTGTTTCAGCATTCACACACACAATAGTTGACTGTCAGTCTGTCATGCTGTCAGTGTTGTGAAGTAACGAAGGAGTTGAGTTTTGTTGATTATAAATTGTGATGTTATGTAAAGGACTGGAAAATGAATGTGAAAACTATGGAAACATATTGGCAGAGTATTGTCACTTACTATCAGGACATATGGATAGAGAATACATTCAAATTAAAGGGACCCTCCCACCTTCAAAAAAGTTTATGAATTGGCATGAAAGTGATGTCGCTCGGTTCAGAAAGAGCGAAAACGAATATCTACCAAATTTCACCGAAAAATATTCACCGGTTTTCAAGATATTAGACTTTTACTTTTGTTTACTTTTTTGGGATCTCCGCTGTTTCTAGCGACTTTATTTTAGAAGTGCGGCGTTTGCGGCAGATGTTGCGCGCAAATAGCATATACCACCGCGTGCTACAAAACGTTTTAGTCAAACATTTAAAAATCGTTAGATATTTGCGCTGACGTCACACATTCAGAGGGGTATTCCTAAGCATTAGCCCCTCTGAATCAAAATGCTGCAATTTTGAAATTCAATATTTCCGATTTAAGGCATTTCTCGATGTTGTGAGTGCCGAAACCGGTAATTGTGAGCCAGGGACCCCATTTTGGCTATCTCAACTCAAATCTAATGTTAAGGTGGGAGGGTCCCTTTAATAAGAAATGCCAAATATCAAGGTACTCAATCACTGATAGCAGTGGACTATCATATGTTTTAATGTCGATTATATGAAAGTTAAGACTGAAACTACCTTTTACCTCATCATACCTAGTGAAAAATTGTGTGAAGAAAACATCCACAGCCTCTTTGAAGCACTTAGACCACTAAAAAAACAAAAAAATTCACGTAAATATGGTGTGTCTCCTTCCTTCAAAACATCATATCGGATGGCGCCACTTTCGTCGACAGTTACTTATCTGCACGTAAATCGAGGAAAACGTGAATTGATTGACGTTTACGTGTTTCCAAATTTAAAATCACAGCATATTCAAACTTTTCAAAGTACCTTTTAACATCTAAGTATAACTAAAACGATAAAAACTTACCTTCAACACAAGGACGACGACAACCACGCGACCGGAGACGTCGCGACGAAATAAACAAACGGCGCCGCCAAATGAAAAATATTCTCCGATATGGGTAATGTGAAATTGAGTCGCAATCATTTTGGGTAGTATGAAAAATGCTCTTTCCAACAGAACCGTAGTAAAAAACGTGAATGGACAAAAAATAACTTTAATTTCGACATAAATATTGGCCTGTTTTTAAGTCATCCTGGTATGCCGTAAGATTTCGACCTATAAATTGGTGTTCCCCCAATCATTGAAGCTTGAGCAGTGAAAAATATGAAAGCCTAATCTGTTTTGCATCATTAGTGATTCTCCTAGGGTGTTGCCATTTCTCCCTAGGTGTTGCGAGTTGCTTTTGCAAAACGTGTTCCTGAAACGGCTCAATTTTTTGAGCCCTCAGCATTACGCCTATGGGAGCCTCTGACGTCACACGCTCAATATTTTGAGCGCTCAATTTTTTGAGCTTTTCCCCCTTGTGCGTGGGACTGATATCATTATTGTTATGGGTACTGCAGACAAGAAAACTGAGAATCGTGCAACAGGATATTCCGAATCAGCCTACCGCTAATCGCTATTCAAAGCGAAGGCCTTGCAGCATTTCTTGATCTCTGAAAGTTGAAACTTGAACTTCTGACAGAATCAGAATCCACCAAACCAAAACCGCTAAAGATTGACTTAGCCTTTTTCACTTAATTAAACCTTGCATTATGAACTCCTCTATGGCCTGGAACTCCTCATTACTCCTAAGTTGATAAATTGAGAATGAATTTGAATACGCACCACAGTAAAACCCCAGTAAAATCACAGAGCGGCTTCGGTTTTATGCTGATTGGGAAGGGCTTGGGATCCATGGCACATATTTCCATGACGGCTCCCGGCTTGGTGATCTTCTCGGCCATCTCTGAAGCTTGATCCATCGCAAATAAACGCCCAAGATCAGGGCCCAAGATTGTAAGCAGATAGCTCAATACATATTCTCCGTAACAAACTGGAAAAGACTGACAAATTTCGACCCAGTTGCGATACACGCGATACACGCAAGCCCAACGCAAGCCCGATACGCAGGTCAAAGGTCAACGGCCCAGCACGCGCAAGACTGCGCCAAAATCGAATTACCTGCGTCATATTGAATGCTCAGTAGTACTACCATATGACAACGGAGAAAACTTCATAACATTTCTTTACTGTATATTCGCACATAGAGCATTGAAAATAGAAAATAATAAAAAGAAATAGCGACCACAGTTTCGTGGTTGGACAACAAAAGAACTATATGATCAAACAGTCGAGAGTTCTCAACAGTGTAGGTCGGCTAGAGCCACAGCATGAGCATGCAGTGAAGTGTGAACATACAGGCGCCAATACGAGCAAAACTTGCGACTCCTCGTGACCGCACATTTGCCAATTTCCACTGTCGGGCTCCGACGGAACCTTCCTTCACACCAGACACTCGGCTGGTTCCCTCTGTTCTGTCTCTGACAGCTGTTCCGTCTCAGCGGCTGCAGCAGCAGCTGCTGCTTTGTGCGGTGCCCGAGGAGCGCGCCGGCTGCTGCCAGCAGCCCACTTGACCTCTGGCCTGGCGGCCCTGGCCGGACGCCCGCAGCAGTCACCTTTGACCCGTGACCCGCCGTAAATGTCAGCGGTGCGCCGCGCTCGCCGCCGACCGGTGACCTCGCCGCCCGGCCGGCGGCGGCTGACCCGGCCGGTCCGCAGCTGTAGCCGGTCCGGGTCGGCCCGCCGCACCGTCAGTTCACGGTACGGAGTACCCCTGAGCACCCGGCGCCCCCCCACCGGTGTGCCTATATACCTTGCCTACATACCTACCTATTTATACGCCCACAAAGGCGGGCGCCAGCAGCTCGTAATGTCTGCAGGGGCCAGGGAACTAGCCTAACCGCTAAATTTCAGATAATCCTAATTTACCATTTCCAGAATGCTCTTTCTGAAAACCGTAGGTGTGATGTAGGTGTCCCCAGACCGTTACAGTGCGTGGTACCTATAAGGCAGGTTCCGTCGCCTTCCTGCAGTCCCCCGACATTGGCGTCCGTCGACAGCCGGCTTACCTGAAGGGTGATGACGTCATCGACGTCATGGCGAGGGAGGTGCCCAGGATCGAGTTGCCGTTGACGCTGTCGTTCATCGAGTCGTCCATCGCCGACGCAGCTCCATCGCCTGGGGGCACGGCGCGGGGCCACGTAAGTAAATAAGCTGTGACAAACACTTGGTTGTGCATATCAGACGGAAGTTGAGTCGCTTATTTGCGACCGTAGGTACCTAAATACCTAAGTTGTAACAAGCACCTGATTGTGCATATTTATTAAACTGAATTTGAATCGCTTCGGCTCATCTGCAGCCGAAAAAAAAACAGGTAGGATTTACTGTCCCGGTCGAATCCTACCTCTGGATTCGACCGGGACCGGATCCGTTCAGCGGGAGCTGTGCCGAGGTCTCACGGCCGGAGAGGGCGGGGGGGGGGGGGCGTGGTGACCGTCGTTCCGCCTGGTCCGACCTCGCCGACGGGGCCACCATCGGACCGACCAGGAAACGGGCACGCCTACCGTCCGGGGCGGACCGGACCGGCGCGGCTCTTCGGGTCCGGGCCGGTCGGTCAGCGTGCCCGGTCGGCCGCGTGTCAGCTGCTGTGACCTTGGTCGGTCGCGGCTGGGGCACCGGCCGGCCCGCCGCCGGCTGCGGCCGCCCGCGAGGCCCGGCGCCGCGCGCCCGCCACTCAGGAAAGATGGCCGACCCAGGGGGCTCGGGGCACGCGAGCCGCGCCGACCCGCGCCCTGGAAGGTGCCACAGGACGGGACGGCGGCGGCGGCGATGACCCGCGCGTGCTACCCCCGCTGATGCAACATTAGGGGGACGCCCTGACGTCAGTCAACCCGAGGACATCAGCTGATGATCAGCTGATCGAGAGCATCGGCTGGACACCAACAGGCATGTCTCCAGAATCGAGTCAAGATTTCACTGCATAGCGTGCTCCAACTCAGAAACCAGGTGCGCATCAGCCGAACATGACACGAGCGTCGGACAATGATCCATAACAAGCGAGGAAGAGGAAAATGTGCAATGTGCTGCGGAACTGGGACAGCGCGCGATGGGCCGCGTGACACGACAAAGCGCTCCCTTGTCCCGGTCTGGGAGAGCGACGCGGCGCTCTCGCATCGGTCACACGGCAATAATGCGGCCTCCGTCTTTGTTACTTTTTGCATCGTTTCTTGTGCGGCCGTTTGAGACGGAAATGTTCAGGAAAAACAAAATTTTGTTTAAAACAGTTCCCAACAGCAGTTGAACAAAGTTAAGCACTACATTCCTCCATTTCATCCAAGTTGAGTAGAGGCCGTAGCGGCCAGAGCCGGGGCGCCGCGGCGGCGGGCGGCGCAGCAGGGCTCCGTCTGCTGACCGGCGCGGCCGCCGGCGGGAACGGCCGGGCCGGCCTGTCACGGGCCGCCACAGCTGGCCGCCTCCAAACGGGGTCACCGGCTAACCCGGCCGACCGGCGCCACGGCTGGTCACCCCGAGTAAACACCGAGACGGCCGGGTCACCAGCCGCCCGGCCCGCGGCGGCCACCGGGTGCACCGCCGGCCGGCCGGCGCGGGACGGTGGAGGGCACTCGCAGAGGGCAGCGCCACAGCCCGGAACGGGGGTCTGCTGCAAGCAGTGTTAGACACGGAGAGGGTCATTGGAGGGCACTATAGACAGTGTTGAACATGTTGAGGACTGAGGAGTCTGTGGAGGGTCAGTCAGGGTCTGGGAGATTTTACCCCGGGAGAGTCTAGAACACCCCGGGGGCAGCTGGACGGACCAGTCTGGCCACAGCTTGCCCGGAATAAACGGTCTAAGCGGCGAGGGGGAGTAATCCGACCAAAATCCGACAGCCATGGATGAAAACATATCGACAGTCGGATGTCGACAGGCGAATTCAGAAACTCCGGGAGCGACCACTGACCGGCACGCCTAGTTGTAGCCAGGGACGATGAGCTATAACCTCAATGGGTCGGGCGTGTCCAGTGGTCAGTATCGCCCGTCGCAGTCTGTCCGTCTGTTTGTCTTCGACCCACACGGTTACTCGGAGGGACAAGTCCCTTTTCGGATAGCGCCGGGCCGAGGTATGTGTGAAATGTTTGCGCCGTTTGCTCTGTTGTGCTCGCCGTCCCGGGGAAAGGTCAGGAGCCGTGCCGTCCCTGGTCGGTAGGAGGGACCTGCTCGGGACGACACATTGGGGTCAGCCCATGCCCCCGGGGCCGAAGGGCGGAGGTTTTGCCGGCCGAGGAGGACCATCGCCGGTCCCTCGCACGGGTTGATGCTATTTATGGAGCCGATCGCCGGCGGCGGGGGCAGGCCACTGCCCGGAGACGACCCGCCGTCCGGCGCGGCGGCGGCGAAAACAGCCGTGCGGGGGACAAGGGTCAGGCGGGTCAGCCACCAGAGTCCGGCTCCTGTGTCAATCCCATCAACCGACCTGCCCCGTGTCAGTGACCGGTGACCGGTCCCCGTGTTAGCCCCAGTGACCGGTGACCGGCCGGGTCCCCGTGTCAGTCCCAGACTCCCAATGAACGGCGACCGGTCCCTGTGTCAGCCCCAGTGACCGGTGACCGGCCGGGCCCCCGTATCAGCCCCAGTGACCCCTGTGTCAGCCCCAGTGACCGGTGACCGGCCGGGCCCCCGTATCAGCCCCAGTGACCCCCGTGTCAGTCCCAGTGACCGGTGACCGGCCGGGCCCCCGTGTCAGCCGATAGTCGCTATCGGTGCACGGCCGTCCGCCGGCTATCGGGCGGCCACCAACCCGCAACTGGGCCAGCCAAACAGCGCCGGCGCCACCCCGGCACGGCAGACCGGCCCGACCGGAGGTCAGAGGGTGACCCTAATGAGAGGTCAGAGGGAACCCACCGAGAGGTCACAGGGTGATCCTGCAGAGAGATCAGAGAAGCAGGACACCGGTACAGCTCAGAAACAGCACAGTCTTTCACCGGTGCGGGACAGATTGCCTTTCAGTGGCGAGACATGAATGCCTCGCCGAAAGCAAGGTCTCGTAGAAGCAGTTTCGCCAATTCACAGCACACCCTGACCCGAGGCGTGGGGTCAGCACACAGTACCGAGCTCCGTCATCGAGCCTGCTAGGTGCTCGGTCGGGGTCCGGTGGCTCGGCGACCGCCCGGCCCACGGTACGGACTCGGTAACGAGCGGAATCAATGACTGATGTATACCGATCGACCGAGCGACCGACCGGGCCGGGCCGTGACCCGAGCACGCGGCGCTCAGGTGACACGCCTCGATCGACCGGCGGGTCGCCCACGCGGCCGGCCGGCCGGCGCGCCGACCCGAGCAGCGGTGACCTTTGGGTCAGCGCCGGCGGTCGGCGGGCGGCGAGCGGCGCAAGCTTTCGGCCAGCTCCCCTCCTCCGTCCGACGGTGATGAATGAATAAATTGGCCAGAGATATTGATCTCCGGATGGCAGAAGCGGGATGTCGGCCAAAGCGCTGACGACGTCACAGACGGGAGGGGCGAGTGGATGGGCGGGATGCGAGGGTACAGCGGTCGAGTGAGCATGAGGCGCCCCCCGGCACGACTCAGGCCAGACGGTCGTAAAAATGTCAGGAGAAGGAAAAAGGGGCGAGCTGTGAAAGTTGGAGCTCGTCACCTGTAAGGAGCTTACCGGCGTCATAGGTAATTCGCCGAACTCCGGGCGGTGACAAAGGCGGCGGCCATGGCCGGCCCCGGGTGGCGGCGGATGGCCGGGCCGTCAGAGGGAGCCGGTCGGCCGGCCAGGTCACCCGACCGGCGCGGCGTCCTGCCCCCCGGCGGTGTGACGTCACCACCGGAGGTAATTCGGAGGCCGGGCCTGACCGCGCCCGGGGCGGGTGAGCCGCCGGAACCGTCCGACACGTGGTCCGTCCGTCGGCCGCCCGCCCGCCCTCCCCGCCGGACGTCGGTGGCGGCGGCCCGACCCGCCGACCGGCCGACCGGCCGACCGGCCGCCCCAGGCGCGCAACGCGACCCAACCTCCCACAAAGGCCAGAGCTGCAACGGGGGACGGGAAAAAGCGGCCTATTTTTACGCGGCGCGTAGGAGAGGCGGAGCGCACTCGAGCCGCGGCCGGAGCCGGAGCGGAGTTGGTCTCGATCAATACGGCCGGCCGACCGGCGCGGCCGGTCACAGCGAGGTCAGGCTGCGCCGCCGGCGGCCGGCGTTCCAAGGCCGCGCGGCGCCGGGTCAGCCGACCGGCGGCGGCGGCCGACCAATGGCGGCGCAGCGCCGCGGGTCACCGCCGACCAGCATGGCGGCCGCCGGGCGGGGGCAGGCTCCCGGAACGCCGCGGAGGGAGCGAGCAGCGCGGACGGCCGCCAGCCAGCCGCGCCGGGCGCCACGGCGACCGGTCAACTGCAGCTCAGTGAGCTCAGCCGACAGCGGCCGGCAGCGGGACGGCGCAAACACAGACCGTATCACACGGACAACACGTGGTTCATGGGCGCGTCATCCCGCAGCCCGTTCATGTTTGAACGGTGCCGTCTGCTACCCTTGCCGACCGTAAAAAGCCAACAGATAGGTAATTAGTACATCTCCATCAGCTGGCGCCGCGGGGGCGCAGCAGGAAGTCGGGAGTCAGGGCCGCGTCAGCCAGCCCTGGACCTCGGTACCGGCCCGGCGCGCGCCCCGGGGCGCCCCCCCCCCCCCCGATACGGCACGAACTAGGCACGGACCCAAGGATCCACACGGACCGGCACGGGAAAATTGGCCGTCGAGCGACAGGGCGCGGCATTTCAACAAGCCGCGCACCGACCATAACCTTCGCCGCGGCGGAGCCATTTGGGCATACCTGCGATGTCTGCACACCGCCGCCACCGGAGAGAGGGCGTCGGTTGAATGAGACGAGAGGAAGACTTGGGATCGGCTATTCAAACTGTTGACATACGATCACAACAAGATCGAGCTATATTGGTCAGTGTAGTTACGACTGACAAAGGACGGAGTGTTGAGCTAGTCTGGTCGATCCAACGTATCCATGAGCTCGGGTAGCTGTCGCATGACCCGTTGACCTGTCCCAGACCCATCCTCCGGCAGATTTCCGGACCGTCCGACCTCTCCATGGACCATTGTGTGACCTGCCCTGCGTGACCCGTCACCGCTTCACCTGAACCGTCTCCAGGTAGACCAGTAGGTATGACTCGTCCCATGACCCGTCAGTGTGAACCTGCAGTACCAGGCCCCATGCCCCCATGCCTCTCAGGCTGACCGGCGTCCTGCGCAGGCCACTGGTCGGTGTCGGCGACAGTGCCACACCGGCGACTGATGTAAACCAAACCGGCACGGTCCCGCAGTCCGCCCGGGTGCCAGGCACACCACCGTGACACGGTTCGACTCGGGCCGAGCAGAGGTCAGGGCAGGTCCGATGGGTCAGGTCAGGTCAGGGTCTGACGAGTCAGGTCAGATAGGTCAAGCCGGTGCCGTGACGAAACGGAAATGACAGCAGTTGGGTTAGACAGATGAGAGCTCGGTCTGACGGAGCCAGGTCAGGTCGAGCTAGGTCAGCATGCTGAGGGTGAGAGGCCAGGGGACAGAGGGGTACGGGTCAAGATGGCACCTAGCGAAACAGACTGGCACTGGTTGGGACAGGAAAGGGACAGACTCGAGCGGTAGGTACGGGTCGGTTCAGTCCAGCGGCACGAATTAGCACGGGACCAGCTCCACCGAGCTCGGCAGGGTGCGGGTCCGGGGCGGCCGGGGAGGGGAGGGGGAGGGGGGTCCCAGGGGCGCCATGGGTCGGGGGAAGTGGAGCGTGCCGTATAGCGCACCGCGTCCAACCAGCTCGGCCGGCGCACCTGGCTCGGAGGGCGCCGCCGGCGCCAGGTGGCCGGTACCCGCCGGTCGGCGAGCGGCGCAGAGCGGCGCACCGACCCTCCCACCGACGGGACCCGACGGGACGCTCACGTGGGGCGGCGCGGCGGAACGACGGACGATGGCGACTAGGGGTGCTTCGGGATGCACACTGCACAGGCAGAACTTCTGTCCACACTGACACCAGTTCAGGTTCATATCCGATGGTAGGATCAGTCCCAACAGCAATCATTCAACCGCTGGGGTTCGCTGGAGGCCTATCAGAGGTAGACACAGGAGCGTGCAAGGTCACACGGCCTGCGTGATGCCTAAAAGATCCGCTCAATCCGTCGTGCTCAGACATTTGTTGTGGCCTTCGTCAGTCAATCAGCAGTGCCCTTGAATCCGCCAGGGAACGAGCGCTTCCCATTCACTGAGCACGTGCTACATCAGCCCTATACGCCAGTCTGCAAAACGTGGCAGGGTTCGACGAGATCTCGTCGGGGCAGACACAGTGGGGCGGGGGCAGATATCGGGGCAGCTTTTGAGAAATCGGGGCAGAGTTCGGCAATTCCGGGGCAGACCGTTTGCAGTCGGGCCGGACCTGGGCGGGGTGCACGCTACCGGTGGAAAATAATAAAGAAGCAGAGTATTGTTGAAACGCGCGAGAAAAAGTGAGCTGCGCCACAAACGTCGCTGAAGCGCAGAAATTGTAATTTGTAACTGTTACCATATTCGAGTTTTCCCTTCATCGGGGCTATGAATGTTTTACGCGCCGTGTTTCGTATTAGCAACCAAGGAAAGGCGCTACCCGGAGATACTCCTTTCTAAATTCTAGCCTCACCAAACCAAATCAAACCAAACCGAACCAGACCAAACCTGACCTAATCGAACACTCGTAAATGTGCTGTATAGCCCTCACGATGATTGCCGCCCCCTCCGGCCAAATGATATCCACATTTCCACTTAGAAACGAACAGGGGCGCGGGAACTACTTTCCGACTGGGGGGCACACCATAATAGAGATTAACCTAGGGTACCCCCAAATCTAGTTTTCTCACCGGTTTTAGGCCACTTATTTTTCACCCCTCGGCTTTTTCAACAAAAAAAGAAAACATTTGCAAAAAAAGTGTGGTATTCCGTCTCAAAGCTGTGGGGGCACCGCCCCCACGGAACCAGAGTTGGGGGGGGGGGGCAAGCTGCCCCCACTGCCCCCCCCCCCCCCCGGCTCCCGCGCCTATGGAAACGAACGCGTGCTAAAACGCTTAACTGACTGGCTGCGAACCTGCGACCTACAGATTAAGAGACGAGCGTACTCTGCACACTTAAAACTAAGCCACCAATTAGCTGATCATCGCCGAGACGAGGTGTAATATCAGTTTTTCAATGATGCATTGGGGTATTGTCCGAGAAGCGCCTCTCTTTGGTTGCAAAAACGAAATGCGCCCCTCGCTGCAGATTGATTCGACGTTGCCATGGCAACATGAGGCAGTTTTGCACCCCAACTGCGTCATCACCACATTTTAACCGGAACACTAGCCGCTCTATATAATATAACCTTGACCAATGATCAGATCCTTGATCAGATCCTTTCGTTTAAAAATTGTTCGAGTCTCATTACCACGACCGACTTAAATTTGCGCGGGTGATGTATTGATATGAAGTTTTTATGCTATATATAGTACATTTAGGGCATAATCTAACCTGCCCCAATTAGATGCCCCATTTGGGGCAGAAATTCGACTGCCCGGGAGGCTAACTGCCCCATTTGGGGCAGGATTCTGGCTGCCCCAAACACCTCGTCGAGCTGGCTGCCACGTTTTGCAGACTGGCCTATACGACTGAACAATCAAACAAATGACTCATCAATTTTCAATCAGATAACAACCTAGACGCCAGCGTGGGAAGCCTCTGACTCACACCTCCTTAAGCAAATCAGAGCTACAAAACGCCTCCATCCCAGCCCCTCTCGGATGTAGTTTGGCTGCGCGCTGACCGGCCGCTCGGCTCGGCTCTGCCGCGGCGCGGCGCCGGCTCCAGGGGGCACGGGCACGGCCGGCGACCGGCGGCACTAACCTCGCCCAACACACCCGCCGAAAATCAATAGCATCTGGGCCGTCGGCTCCCCTCTCGCGGCGCGGCTGTTTTTGCCCGTTCGCGCGCCGGAGTCGACACAACAAATTAAAATCGATAGGACCGGCGGCGGATGACGTCACCCGGCCGCCGGGGGTGGCGTACTCACCGCTTCCCTCTCCGTCCGAGTCTCCGTTCTGCACCAGCACGGCCTCCTCCAGCGGCTCGCTCTTCACCGACACCTCCGGCGCGGCGGCCGCCATTCGGGTCATACTCTGGCGGGCGCGGCCCTACCACCACTGGAACAGAGCGACACACCACCGCCCGCCGCCGGTCCGCCGCGCGCACTGCCGGCGCCCGGCGCCCGGCCGCGTGTCAGCCGCCCGGCGCCCGCCGGCGCCCGCCAGATGGCCTCCGTACCGCCGGCGGCCGTGTCACGCGGCCACCGTACCGGCGTTGGCGACCGCGCCGCCGTTACGTTATTGGCGAGTGTCAGGTCGGTCACGGAAATATCGGGACGAGGGTCTGGATGGGCCACGTGACGGCTGAGGCCGGAGGAGCCGGGAGGAGCGGCCGGCGGAGCTGCTCCGCGGCACGGGCCAGGCGATGCGAGGCTAACTGACACGGTCACGGGAAACCCGAGCCGATATTAGACTCGCTGCCGTTCCCTGCAATCACACACACCGCTTCAGTTGTAAGCTATTTTCCACCCTGCACGTCTCGTAGTTGAGCCAATAACAGCAGCACTGTGAATAATAGCCAAACACCGTCATAGAAGAACGGACTTTACCCCAGCAGCTCGCCGGTAATGAAGATCCGTGTCAAATGTGACCGAAAAAGGCCTACCGGAACAGCAGTGCTGTGTGGGCAGAGTATGTCGGATAGATAACCTAATGAGACGCATGTGGCACACTCGGGGAATGGACTTCAGCTTTCAGCAATATATTCGCAACCTATTACTGCCCTGGCCCCTACCGGAATAAGCAAACCGCTATACGAGAGCCCGATATCAGTGGGCGTCAACACATCACTGACGGGTCTTCTCCCGGCTATTATACTTTACTAATGACCGCCGACAATTCAAATGCACAGTGGTGATCAATGCAACCGTGCCATGGTCTGGAAAAATTCGTCTGGTTAGGAAAAGTAGGTGTGATCGCACATCGGAGTAATTATTCAAGAACTACCCTTATGGATGCAAGTGAATGGTTCAAAGGCGATTTTTTCCAAAGCAAGTGAGTACGAGAGAGAGAGAGAGAGAGAGAGAGAGAGAGAGAGAGAGAGAGAGAGAGAGAGAGAGAGGAGTGTGCACTGCTAAAACAATGCCCGGTGGCGGCCTGACCTTGGAGTGTGGTCGAGGACACAGCTACGGCCGGGCTATATACTCTGGTACGGGGCAGGCGTACTGGGAACGTCCCTTGGAATCCGACATATCCCCCGCTCTTCCTGTGGACAGAGGATGGGGGAACATCACAATGTGGAGAGGAAGACGGCGACGGAACCGGACACTGAGACCTCAGGTGGCAGAGAGCGCAGGTTGACTAATAGAAATCATCCATGCTACGTCAAATACCAGGTAAATGATTCATGAATCTATTAGCTGCGGTGGATTTCACTAGCATAAGGCGATGCACAATGTAACTTTAGGCGCACTATCAGTGAGGCGTTGAATCAGAACCGGTGCAACGTCAAAGGGAGCGTCACCGGCGCCTGGCACAAGCGCTATATACCGTATATACGGCTCCGACGGCACGGCACTGCCCACCGGCTGACGAAATGTCCGACAAACCCCCGCCTTTGAGAAGGTTGCTGCTTGTTCATACGCCAATGGCAGACGATCTGCCTACATGCCGGCTCCGGGCGTCGGCGGTGTTCCAGCTAACGCTGACCTTTGCCGGAGGAAATGTCACGGCCCGACCCGGTCCGCGGTCAGCTGGTGAATTCTGCACGGCAACTCACGAACTTCGACACTATTGACTAATGCCGACCGGACCTGGAGATTCAGCAGCGACACGGAGCTCATGAGATGAGAAATGACAGTTCCTTTGCATTGGTGGGATGGTAACAGGCACGATGCATACACATATATAAAGTAATAGGCACTGAAATGCTGACATAACATGACAGAACACCAGCGAAACGCCGATTTAGAATTGGTACCACATCAACACTTATAATGGCATATGAAACAATACGTAATCGAATAACATCTCCACCATTGTCAAAAGCCACTTCTCGGAGGCTCAGGGGTGAGACTAAGCACCCTTCCATCACCCTGCACGCCCATACCATCTCTATCTTTGCACCGGAGGCTGCCGCGCCGCCGACCGAGGCCCCATGGCGTGGCCCGCGGGCCGGTCGCGATGGAGGAGCTCGCCCTGAAGTCGGAGCGTCTCTCCACGGCGCCGCGGTCGGTCAAAAAATCCGCCGCGGCCGGCACAGAACCAGTTTGCGTGTAATCCGGGCGGCGCCTGAGGTTCTCTCAGGGTCAGCGGGTCGGGACGGGAGAGACAGGTCGGTCCGGGGCCCTGCACGGGAGAGGAGAGACAGAGAGGGCGGGCCCGGGCCTGCACGGGAGAGGAGAGACAGAGAGGGCGGGTCCGGGGCCTGCACGGGAGAGGAGAGACAGAGAGGGCGGGCCCGGGCCTGCACGGGAGAGGAACGGACAGTCATCAGGTCCCATGCTGGGCAGCGGCTATACCCGCCGATGTTGGAATGCATACATTTTTCATCTGCAGGCACCCTCACGCAGGTATCTGTAAACAAATAGGAATGTTACTGCCTGTGGCGTCGTTCCAAAGAGCGGAGCATTGCCACTTTATGGGGCCCAGCACAGATGCCGTGCTTATTACCACTGATTGACGGACTCCGAGACGCCCTCAGCGCCAGCTGACGTCTCGCCACCGTCCCGCTATCCCGCCACGGAGTCCCAGCTTCCGTGGGAGTCTGCCGCTCATCTCCGCCACCGCCGGCGTCGGGCTGATGTCGCCCGGGCCCGCTGCCCGAGACAGGTTGGCGCTCCGTCGCCCCGCCGCACTCGGTAGGACTGCCGGCGGGGAAGGACCGTCGGCAGGACGGACTCTCGCCGCGGTTTGGTCAGAGTTCCAGGCCCGTCCGTCCGTCCAGGTTCGCTCTCAGGCCCGGTGACCTCGGCAGCCGGCCGCAGGCCACTCCTCGGGGGCCGGGCCGTTTCCGCCGGCTGACCTCGGTAGCCGCTACGATCGGACGGTGAGACGCGCCGCGCCGCACACCGGTCCGCAAACAGCTCCCCCTCGCCGCGGCCACCTCGCCAACAAACAGGCGGGCGGCCCCGCCCTGCCGTACCGCGGTGCGCCGGCCGCCCGGTGTCGCCGGGCCGGCCGGTCAGCCGCGCCGTCAGAACCGCGAGACGCGCCGCGCTCCGGCCAGCCAAGGTCACGGTGACCGCATCGGGGAAAATCGGCCGGACGGGTGGACGGCGGACGGGCGCGGCGGCGCGCCTCGCCCCGTGGCCCAGTGATGGCGGCGGCGGTGGCCGGTGACCGCGCCGCAGGTGCCGCTCCAGGGCGCGGCAGCTGGCCGCCGGCGGCCCCCGCGCCGACCGCGCAGCTCGGCCGCCCTGCGGGCTGCGCTCTCCTGTTTTTGTCTGAGACCGCGGCGCGCACATTCCGTCCGGACGCCGCCGGCGGCGCGGCCGGGACCTGGGACCTGGCCCGCCCCCGGCCCACAAAAGGGCCGGCCGGCCCCGCGCCGTCCCGCTGGCGACAAAGGCCACTGCGGGGCACTGCCCTACACTCGGCGGCCCGCGCGGCCCCGTTTTCCGCGGAATCTGCTTTATGGCGAGAAAAAATCTAAGGGTTATTGAGGCCGTGCAGAGGGGCGGCGATAAATATAGTGTGTCACCGCCGGGTCCCGCGCCCTCGGCCGACGGGGCGGTCCGCGCCGGTCCCCGGCCGAGGCCACGGCGAGCCGCGCCACAAAGACAGCCGTCGGCCGCGCCGGGGCGGCCACAAAGGCTGTCGGCCGGCGCCGGCGACCCGACCGGCGCTCCCCTCCGTCGGCGACCTTCGTCTCCCCTTCCGGCGGCGGGCCACGTGACCGCGCCCCGCCGCCGTGCCGGCCGTCACGTGACCGACCCGTCGGCGCCGGCGGCGGGGGAAGCGACGCCGAGGGTGGCCGAGCGCGTGGCGGCGGGCAGCGGTGTGCCGACCCGGCGACGGCAGCCCTGCAGGGGCGGCGGCGACCGTCCCAGTAATACCGGCGCTCACCACAGGTCCGCACTGGATCAGCTGGAAACGAAACGGAAGGAAACGAAGGGAAGGCGAATGTCAGACATATACGAGTAGTTACGAACAAGGAGCCTCGTGGACGGAGGAGTAAAATGCATACAGGCTGAAGCGCGCCGATTGGTATGATACACGTGTAAGTGAGCGGTGCTGGGATAATAGCATTCACCTGAATGCATTGAGCAGGAAAGGCGCTGATTGTTGAGGTCGCTGCCTATATCAAACGGTGTCGGTTGCGCCCGGCGCGGCCTGACACACAGAGCAGACGAGCTGTGAGTACCGGTGGCTGGCTGTGAGCATCCCCCACCCACACAGGATACCGGTGATCCGACGATCGTCATTCAGCAGCAGTCCTTCTTATAGAGGCATTATCTTCATCAATAGCGCCTCACTGATACATAAACATCAGGTAAAACATCATTGTAGCCTGCCTGAAAATCGGCACATCCCCACACTCCAGTATGTCAAACGTACCGTGGCGCAGACAGTGAAGATATCCTCTGTCAGACGGCTGAAGAGGCTTCAGGACGGGCCGGCATTGAGGAGAGTGGCGGTCAGCAGTTGGTAGTCGCCGACTCGCCAGTCAGTCAGTGGATATTGAGTGAAGTAGACAGTAGCCTCCTGACAGCCGAGCCGGGCCCTGAAAGATCGAACTCACGGGAGCAGGGCGGTCACTGAGGAATGACAGGACTCACGGTCAACAACCGGTAACAACCGGTAACTGAGAAAGGACACAATATATCCGTCATCGGTCAGCCCCAGGACTGGCTAGGGTATGACCCACGCACGGGTCCGCCCCTGAGGATTGAGGTAGGACGGGACACACCGGTGTTACCCGCGCCCGTACCGCTGGAAGCGTCGGCCGGTCTCTGTCCCGATGGTAGCCGATCCGAGCCCTGCGGCCGGTGAGTGACACACCGGCAGCCAGCCTGAGACCCTCCGGGCGGTCACTGTTCCATCGGCGGCCGATCACGGGCCCTCCGGCCGGCGTGTGTCCCGTCGGCCGGCGTCTGTGCTGACGGCGCCGGCCGATCCGAGCCCTCCGGCCAGTCACTGATCCGTGACACGGTCACACGGCCGACGGACGGAACGGCCGGCCGGCCGCTCGACTC